ATTGACCAAATGGAAGAAGGAATCAATATGCCTATTCCATGCTTGTGGCACTTGTTTAAGGTCGTATAATGCTTTTTTCAACTTTTTTCAATCTTTACACCTTATCTTCACTTGTTTCATGAATTCGAAGGTTGACTTCACATCCATTTAATAGATTTTCCAATGATTTTGTGCAGTCAAGGTAATTATAAGTATGATGGTCTCCATTAGGGTAATAGTAGAAAAACTTTTTGATAGTCATAGCCAAGCCTTTACTTAAATCCCTTTGCCACTAGTCTTATTTTATAACTTTCTGCCCCACCATTTGACTTCAATTTTGTCTTGAAAACACATTTGACGTCAATTGCTTTGTGACCTTATGGAATATCATTGAATTCTTACATATTGTTCCTTTCAATTACCTTGATTCCTAATTCATGGCATTCACTCATTTAGAATATTAAATTACCTCTTTAAATGTCACTGGTTCATTATTTGTAAGGAAAACAAAGTGCACCAATTTTCCATTAGCATCAACTTCATCATCAACAGTTACCTCATAATCTTGCAAGCATACTGGCTATTGGTGTTGTCATTGTAGCCTTCCAAATTCTGTTGGAGCTTGTGACAAAAAGGTTTCTTGAGCAGAGCTTCAAAAGTCTTCTTCGTTTATAGTGAGAGCTTTAACTTCTTTTTCAAGAATAGAAATAACTCAAATTTGTGGGCTTTTATGAGTATCGGCATCCCATTTCCAAGCTGTTTTTTTTTTTTTGGGCAAATGTTACATCTTAGTTGACAATCACTTTCTTTGTCTTAGGATTGGACAACTTGGGCATACCACGCTTGTAATAAAAAAAGATAATTTTCTTTACTAGGTCATCTAGCTTTGTCCTTGTCTCCACTAAAACATGAGCATAAGCAACAAACTCAAACACCTTGAAATGTTTCACATTTGGTTTGAAGCTCCTCCACGCTTCTATAAGGGTGATATTTTGGACACTTCTTGCTGGAGATTTGTTCAATAGAACATGAAATAGCTTCACCTCAAAATGAATAGGGCATTCCTTTCACCTTTAGCAGGCTCCTTGTCATGCTTATTATGGTTCCATTCCATTGTTTAACAACTTCGTTGTGTTGTAAAGTTTAGGGAAAAGTCACTTCATACTTGTTCTTCACAATATATATTAAATTCATAGGAAGTATACTTACCTCCATAATTGATTCATAGCACCTGAACAAGATAACTACTTTACTTTTCAACGTGCACTTTAAATTTCTAAAAGTAATAAAAAAAACTTTCAAATTTTCTTTGCAAAAGATAGACCTAGATATTGCGATTAAAATCATTACTAAAGATTAGGAAGTACTTATTATTGCCATTTGACACTGTATTCATTAAGCCAGACACGTCATAATGGACAAGCTCAAGTGGTTTGAGTTGCACATTGTTGCTATTCTGTTGCACATTGTTGTTATTTTATTTACTTAATTAATTTTATTAATTTATAATTCTTTTTAAATACAAGCTCACATTGTTGTTATTCTATTGCAAAAGGCATTCTACGATGCTTCCCAAGGGTGCATGCTTTATACAATTGGTCAGGATTATGTATGCTAGGCAAGTCTTTCACAATCTTTTCTTGAGCAAGAAATTTTAGGTTGTAAAAATTTAGACGTCTAAACCACAAATTCTACAATCAAGACTTATCTTTTATAATTGCATTGAGACAATTATAAACACCATTAGAAATATAAACTTGAAAAATACGATTTTTGTTAATGTGGCATTAAAAATGAGTGTACCTTTCTTATCCAAAATGGAGAATTGATGGTCATGCAAGCTCATAACATAAGCAACTTACCCACACCAAGCAAATTACTCTTCATGCCTGGAATATAAAACATATTAGATATGTACTTGTGATCTCCATTCTTTAAGTTGATAAAAAAATCATCTTTTTCTCTTCACTCATATAGTTCTATCATGAACAAATTTGACTTTGGTGAGAATTAACTCATCAAGATTAGTAAATAACTCCCTTTTTCCACTCATGTATTTGGTACATCTAGTGTCAAGGAACCATGTGTGGTAGTTTTCTGTTTCACGAGTATTAGTTACAATTAGGAGAGCATGGCCACCATCAACATCATCATCATCTCCTTGAGACTTTTACATTTTATCCTTATATATGCACTCCTTTAAATAGTGGCCATGTTTTTTATAATGGCAACATTCAACATTTCGTTTGTCATACCTTCTTTTACCACGTCCACAACCATGACCTTTTGAATTTTATCGTTGGCTAAATTTTAGAACTCTAGCATATTGGCCAACAAACTTGGATAATGGGGTTTTGGAGTTCACATATCCATCAAAAAATGAATTAATGCTCTCACCCCATTGACTTGATCTCATTCCACCAAAAATGTGTCCCTTAAAAACACATCAACGTAACTATACCATTGATCATACATGTTTTCCAAACATTTCTAAGAATTCTTTTCTTTGTGCTGTTTATTTATTAATGGCTCCATAAACTCTTTTTTGTATTTCTCCTTCAACTCTTTCCATGCACTCTCAATTTCTTCAATAGTTTTACTTTTTCTCACCCACTTATAATATTGTTCATTAAATTCAAGATTCTATAATGATCTTAATGAACGATGGTGCTCATCCTTGTGGAGAGAGATGTGCTAACCACAAAACCTATGATGTGTATTTGGAAAGACCTTTTAATTGCTTAGTGATAGTTGGGTCTTAGTCAGTGATAATTGCACTTGGTGATTTACCTCCCATGCATAATCACCACCATTAAAACAACCACACAAATTCTCATTTGATAAAAGGGCATATCCAAACAATGTTGATTATCCATGATGGTTGACATCGGTGAATGGTGCAAATGGTAAAAGAAAGTGATTGGTCTGGCATGTCACACATAAAACCATGACATCACCAAAATGTTGATACATTTCTCTTGATCTCCCATCCACCCAAAATATGCTTCTTCATACACCATCTTTATCAACCTTAATGGCATGATAGAAATTTTCATCTAAACTAGTCAACTCTAGAAACTGTTACATAGATATTTGAGGTGGCATCACCTGAGACATTTAAGAGTAGTGCAATTCTTGAAAGCTTACAACTAGCTAACTTATATTGATCCATTGACTCCATTGTATCCATAAACAACTGCTCTTTCTTATGAGACCATAGTTTTCTTACTTGGAAAGGTAAACATTTCATGATTGTTCTCACCAATGAATTAGCATAGGATCCAAACTCCATTTTTAAAGATAATAGACATTCGAGCTAGACAATTTACTTTATCTAGACGATCACATGTTGCTTTTTTTGTAGGCTTATAATCTTTCTTTTTTCCTACCTTGTGGTAAACAAAATATTTTCAAATAGTAGGTCCATTTGGGATTGACCTCTTTGATGACTTCGAGCAAATGCCAAATCAAATTCTCTTGTATATTCATTATAAAATTCACGAGCCATATCAACAGAAGGAAACTACATTCCTTTAAAAGGTATATTGTCATTAATATCATTTTTACCCAATACTTCAATTTCTGTTCCATTTTCCATAACATTATCAACAAAAATTTCTTCTAATCCCTCAAAACCATTCACTACTTGTAAAATTAAACAATTGTTGCTATCAATTTCTCTTTTATTGATTGTGGAAGATTAATATCAAGCTGTATTTGTTTTGAAACTAGAGAATAATTCATCTTGAGCCTTTAAATCAAAGAAATTTCAAAAATAAGGGATAGAATATACCAACACTTTTAGCAATAATGCATTGCTTTTTCTAAATAATTGTGTACTATGAAATTAAAAGATACAATTATCCAACATAAGAAAATGACAAGACACAATTGGACAAAAACACATGAAAAGAAAAGGAAATAAAAAAACAGAGAAGCTAGAGAATCTAGAAAACTCATACTAATTTTTGACAATGAGAGTCATAACTCAACAAAATCCTCCAAACTTGAAATTGGAGTGATGACACATCAATAAGCTCATAATAGTGATGGATTAAGTGACGGCTTCACAACTTAAAGTGAGAAAAACAAGAGATTGTTGTAAGGTAGCAAAAAGGGAAATCAAGATGTGTACTGGATCTAATGAGATATAGATGGAGGAGAAAGGAGATTGTGGGAAAAGAGGAGAGAAAGGCTTGATTAACAGGAGTGTTTAAGGCTGGACCGAAGAAGAAGAAGGGGAGTGTGTTGGAATTTAGAATGACCTTGCAAAAATTTATAGAGGTCGGCTTGCACAGCAATTTCCCCTATATAAACACATATCCAAAAAGTTATAATTTTTTACCAACATAAGATAAAGAGCCTACATTATTTTCGCTATTTTCCCTCTTTATACTCAAAACATATTTATTTTTATTCTCTCTCAGTATTCTCTCTTTTTTGTTATTCTTTCGTAATCTATTCTTTAAATCTTTATCTAGCAAAATATATCTATTTTTATACCATTTTTTTCTCCATGATACCTTTTCACTTATACTTCATCATATATTAATTTTCTTGAAATTCCATCTCTTAGTTTATTCTCTCACATTTTATTATTATTATATTTATCTATCTACTCTACCTTTCCCCTCATTTTCTCTATATTTAATAATCTTTTTATTACTCTGTAATACCCCAAAAATTTCTAGAATAAATAAGTGAGTTAGGGGTTAAATTGTGGAAAAATATTGTTTTGGGCTTAAGAGCCAAAATATCCAAAGTTGAGGGGCTTAAAAGAGTAGAAATTGGATAAGGATGGCTTATTTCTTTTCTCCTTTTTCCTCTTTTTCTCCAGCCCGATTCTGCTCTTCTTCTTCTTCTCGCTACAGCTCCCGAAATCCCCCCTCCAAGCCGCCGGCACCAGCTTTGAAAAATTGGTGAGAAAGCTTGGAATTTCTCCTTCTTTCTTGTCCAAGAACCTGATTTGGAACCCAGAAATCTTTCCCCTTTGCTGGAAATTCCAGATCTGCCTTGCTCTGCTTGTCTTCACCGCCGGCTGCTAGTGGGTATGGGTGATTTCTGGGCTTTTTTTTGGGGTAAGAACAGCCCCTAATTCCTTTGTTCTTGCTTGAATTGGCTTGGGTTAACTTTGATTGCTCTTATTTCCTTCAATTTTGGGTAGTTCCCGTGAGCTTCCCCTGCACTTGCCGCCGGCTTCTCTCCCACTACAGCTCCGGTTTCTACAGCTGGAGAATTATGGTATGTGACAGCCTTTTAAGGCTTAAATTGTTCATTTAGTTTGCTGGCTGTGTATGTCCGAATTTTGCTAGAAAAATGGGGAAGAATTTGATAGCTTTAGGACCATGATTTAGCTTAATTGAAGTGGGATTTATGTGATTGAGTGTTAATTGATTGTTGTGAGATTTTTGGAGAGAAAACCCCGTGAGATTATCTAGTGTTTTGGCCAATTTGTGGAAGTAGAGTTACTGTTCACGTCGTTGGTACTGTTCATGGGGTACTGTTCACGGCACTGGGGTACTGTTCACACACCGTGGGCCAACAATTAACCGGGATTTAAATGATTAGTTTGTGATATGAGAACGATTTTGGAGATATTTGATCATGTGGCGATTTATGGAAATAGCATTGTGATTAGGAATGATCCTAACGATGAGTTTACCTTGAATTTGTGATAGTGGTATTAATTCTTGAAATATTTTGATTAGGTGTCTGATCGTTCTGTCAGTTAGCACTAAGATTGAGTGCTCGGTTTTATGCGAGTGAGGTAAGTAAATTTATGGTAATACCCGTACTGTTTTAAAAGCATGTTTTGATTTGTTTTTGAAGTGGTGGCGGGACTAAACTCGTTTTACACGAGCATGACTGATTTGAAGTGAAATGTTTATGTTTTTCATTAAATTGAGCATGCCTACTTGAAAGTGATTGTGAATTGTCCTGACGATTTGAAAGTGATAGTGAATTATGATTTTTTTGTTAACTTCTGCCTGTTTTGTCTCTGATGTGGTCATGTTATTAGTGACCCTGCTAGTGGGGGAGGTTATAAACGCTAGCACGTCGACATGTTAGTGATAGAGCCGGTTCGTTCAGTGGCCCTGCTAGTGGGGATTATACACTAGTAAATCGTGTGCCTGCCAATGGGAGGTTTATAAACGCTGGCCATGACCTATAGAGGAGACGTCTATTTTTTTTCCGTACCCGTATCGGTTTTTCGTGATTGTACTTGTTGGCATGCTTTAAGTTTAATAAGGGCACTCCATGTTTACTTACTGAGTCTATCTCATAGTTTTTCTCATAGTTTTTCCTTGTCCACCATTTCAAGAAGTGAAACCGAAGACGGGGAAATCACGGGAAGTGACGAGTTAGAAGGCTAGCCATTGTAATTGGATATGAAATTTTAGAGATAAATCATGATCTCGTAAGCTAGAGTTTATTGGAGATTTATGATATCAGAGAGATTTTATAATTTGATCTTCAGATTTTGATGGTATCAGAGTGTGAATTGGATAAGTTCTGAGCCTTGTGCATTTGTGGGACCCGTCTCACGAGTGCACGGCGTCTGTCGCGCCTCGAATTCTGGTTTTGGGGCGTGACATACTCTTTCTCTCTTTTCTTATTTTCTCAATATTAATTTTTCCCTGTCCTTCCTTGCATCTTTATTTATTATTATATATCACTAGTACCAAATCTCTCTCTGTCTCTCACCCTCTCTTTCTCTCTCTCCCTGTTATTTTCTATATATTAGAATTCTTTAAAAGCTTGTTTGAATAAGCATATTGAAAGCTTGAAAGGTTTTTTATTTTACAATTCTTATATTTTTTTTTGATAGTTTATGCATACCCTATTTAATGCATAGGGTATCATTTTATATATAGATATATAGATTCTCCCTTAAATTGATTAAAATATATTTATATTTAGACCTTAATTAATCCATGAGTAGAATTATATATATAGATATAGATAGATAAATATATGCTTAGGATCTAAAGTCTATTTATTTTTGTTTCTATTTGTTTAGTATTATTTACTCATTTGCAGTTCTTCATTTCATGATTGGATATGGAATAATACTATAATAATTTATAATTGTCATATTATTAATTTTTTATTACTTTTTTACATTAAATTATTAAAATTATTACAACAATAGTTATAACTTATAATTTTATTGTTGAGGATAAACACAAAACCCAACATAAATAATAGTTTGGTTCAAAGTGGTATAATTTCAAAAAAAAAAAGAAAAAAGAATCATCTATTAATAATTATATAATAAATAATAAATATATATCATTATATTAATTATATTATATATTATACATATAAATGCATACCCTATTTAATGCATAGGGTAGCATTTTATATATATTCATAGATTTATTGAAAATTTTAACAATTTTTATAATATAGTAAGATATGTGAGTTAAATACAAGTAATGCTACTTTGCCTATTATCAATTGGTTTTAGGTTAGATGTGAGTTTTATGTTAAAGCTCACATGTCTAATTTTCACATGGTATGAGAGCAGACTGCATTCTATCAAGGTACATTGTTAGCTCATGTGATAATACCTAAAGTTCATTTCAAGATTGCATGTAGTAAGGCATTTTAAGCTAGTGATAGGACCCCACGTTCATACCAAGCCTACATGTGAAGGGGTCTATTTAGTGGGGAAATCCCACATTAAAGATATAACAAAGAAACATGTAAGTTAAATTTAAGGAAGTCTACTCTACCCATTGCCATTTGATTTTAGGTTTGATGTAAGCCCTAGGGTTGACATTAGTTAAGGTGGGTACCATATAAGGGATTTGATTATTAGTGGCGTTTTTATTGTTTCAAGTAACCTAGTTTGGGTAGGTGCTGGCATTGGTATAGAGTGCCTTTGTTAAGGTTTTTTTGTGTAGTAAGAGAAACAGAGGGAGCCTAGAGTTATGTCTAGGTTGTTAGAGATGCGACAATGCTTTTGCATTTAGGTTGTCGAGGTATACAAGTCATTTGGCAAGAGAAAGATTTTATCTACTTGTGGTAATGTTGGCTTGATTGTTCATGGGATCTGCAACGGAAGGTAAGGAGTTTCCACTTGAGATGGAGGTGAGGCATGAATTGTGGTCTTGGTTATTGAGTGCTTGGTGCTAAACAATTTGTCATAATTCTTTTTAGGGTTTTTTCACATAATATTGAAAGGATAAAGAAGAGAAAAATATCTTGAAAATAAAACATAACTATAAGGAATAAAAGATGAAGATGGTATTTACATAGTTAGGGAAGGGGGAAGATGGAAAAGAGAGGCCAAAACCTTGAAGCTATTGGGGTTTTTAAAAGGGCGTAGTGGAAGCAAAATTAAAAATTCCTCTTTTGACACACTTAGAATTCTTATGAATCCATTGACAATTAAGAAATGTTAATGACAAGTCCCTCAAAGAAGTGTGCCTCTTTGATAGGTAGCTATGATTTGCAACTTTTGCACGAAATCTAAAGTCCAAGGGTAAAATTCCTCTACTGGTAATCCACACATAGGCCTTTGGGATTAAGAGAAGATGAAAATCTCTAAAGTGCTAGCTAAAGAGAATTTTGATTCTTTCTTCTCTTTTTGGTGGTGGTTCTACAAAATAAAATCAAAAAGAATAAAATTGGTAGTTTTCTCCTTGCTTTGTGTTGCAAAGAGAGCTCTCATTTGAAAGAATATTTTCTCTCCTCTCTTTTAGGTGGCCTAGGTCTACAATGAACATGTAAAGGAGAATTATGTTTTCTACTTTTATTTATCCTAATAGGAAAATAGAAACACTACAGTAATTCTATTCCAATTATAATTATATTAAATTAAAGTTAGTCTCTAAATCAAAGTAGAAAATATGGAAAAGATTTTTCTTCTTCTCTTTTTCTTTTATCCTTGCTACCACCCTATTCTTATTAGATTGGGAATGCGCCATGCACTCCCTTAGTGCATGATGCCACACAACCCTAGTCTACATGGACTAGTGGACTAGGGCTTCGGCAACGTACCCTATTTGGGCTACATTGATTCACCTTGGATCTTTCCCAATTCTAGCTAGCACTTGAACCAATATAATCTTGAGCTAACTCAAATTAAATAAATTTAATCCATTTTATCAATTTAATTTCAAATTTTGATTAATTTATTTTTCTGGTGAAAATATTGCTTTCATATAAATCAATATTTTTTCATAAACTTTAATTATATAAATCCTAGTTCCATGAAGGGCACAAAGTGTGTAACCTTCTAGGTTTTTATCATAGTGGTAGTGAATATGTCTCACAGACCAAGAGCAGTATCTAGTAACACATCATGACCACCCAAAATAATATAAAAGTCAACGTCTTCAACTAACCTTCCAATAACTAATAAATTTATGTAATTCAATCCCTTCCTCATCAATATCTCAATTAAGCAAAATGCACACCGTATGTGATCATCTTTAAAGGTGATGTATTTTCTTTCATTCCCACGATATACAACTCAATGAATGAACTCAATCATTCTTGTTATGACCACAAACTTCAAGTAGTCTTATTTCAATAAAAAAGGCTTAGAGATATCTTCTCTCATTAACTCAAGAGGGACGAATCCTTTCTTGACTTGTTCATTATTCTAATGTGATTCATGTTGATCTAATAATTGTATTATTCGCAAGCCCTTGTAGTAGTTGTTTTTAACAGCATCAAAATATAGAAGTCTTTGCATAGAATAATAATGATCTCAAAGTCAAAGGATCACTTATACTCACGCGTCATTAGTCATATCTAAGATATGACTAATGACACGTGTCAATCTGGTGCACTCATCTTTTTTTAGCTACCCACGTATCATACATGACTTCATGAAAAAAAGTCTTGCCACCTAGCAAAGTAAAGTGTCACATGTGTTAGTCTTTATGTTAATTGATGTTTCATCTCATTGATATATGACTAATGAAAAGTTAAGAATCTTATAAAATAAGATTTATCCAGTTAAAAGGCAATTTGGATTATAACATCTTTGTTTAAATATAAAAAAATAATGAACATGACTAATAGTGATCATTACTATTACATTTTAATATAACAAATATTCTAAAGATTTCATGGATATTTAACATATGTAAAAGAATAACAATAGTTAATATTTGATAAAAAAATATCATAAATAAAATGAGTATAATCACAAATATATAAAATTATTTTACCAAACTAACTGATTTTTACGGCATACTCTAACAAAAGTTCATTGGCGGCGAGTGCTCTCATACTTGAGGGGAAAGTGCACTCATATTATTTATTCAATGTCGGATTTTCTCATATTTATAACACCCAGCCCTAAGTAACTACTCTCGCACGCTAGGCCTTTTCATTATTCATGATAAATTAAACCCTTAGGTGGAATCTCTTCCTTGCCAATTTTCCTCCCAAGATCACATTTTGCCGTTGTTAGAAGTAAAGTTGGTGAAACATTGCAACCAAATTAGTAATCTGAGCCAATAGATTTTGTTCAATTCTTCTATGGAAAAGAAGGGTGCTTTACATTTTTCCATGAAAAGATCACTCTTGGATTATATAAGTCGCACATTTTGAAACAATTAGCAATTAAAAAAGGATCTGATCTTGGACACCAGTGAGGCTTATTCAGTCAGTCTCTGTCAAGTTCCTGTAATTTGATTCCTGAACCTGTTGCCAATCCTTCTTAGCAAAATATTTAAGGAGAACAGATCAAAAGCAACGAATATACGAAAAAGTAAAAACATTAAGAAGTAAAAAACTAAGAAAAGAAAAAATCAATCCCTAGACACGTCGGAAAATGATTGTACTTATTAAGCTTTTCCAGACAAATACTGTCAGATAAAGACATTTTTCTTTTAATTTTCGTTACCTAGCGGTAGTATTATATATGCAATACAACTGCTCTGTCCAAAAACAAAACATCACATTCGGAGCATCTTCCTGTTTCGATTAATCTACATTAATCTCAGCACCCCAATAATAGACCCCTGCATAAACAAAACAAAACAAATTAGAAGGCTGCAACGCAGAAATCTTTTGTTGAACGCATAAGTCTATTGTTGAACCCAATAAAACTTGATTTTTAGCAACAACTCCACTAAGTTTTGTAATCAGGTGGGTTACAACTTCCGTGCACAATTGTACCAATTTATGGCAAATCTTTTACCGTAAAAGCTGAAGGCTTGGCTAATAGGAATAATTGATAACTAATACTACCTTCATTTAATTTTAATTGGTGTAATTTTAATTTTTTAATTTTTAAACATTAATTTTAGATAAAAATTTAATATAATATATAAATGATAATTTTTTTAATTAAATGAAATTATTGAGTAGGAAATATGTATAAAAAAAATATAACTTTCAATTATCATAAAGATACTTCTGTTAAAATTTTAACTAGAATTAATATCTGAAAAGCAAAAAAAAATTAAACAACTACAATTAAATTCAAGTTAACTTCAGTTCAAAAAAAAAAAAAAAAACTAGTACAATTTAAGGTAAATAGAGAGGTTTTAATATCATCCTATAATAATCTATCTAGATACACCAATTAACTGTTTGGAGAAAACACTCAAAAGCT